CTCTAGTTCCAGCTCCTGCCAACCTAGCAGTTCGAAAGCAAGAACTTGCAAGTAGATAAACAGGTACCACATCGGTGGGAAGGTAACAGCGTTCCGTGCGCCTTGGTGTTTAGTCATGCCGGCCACATGACCACGGAAATGTCTTCGGACAGCGCTGGCTCTTCGGCTTTGAAACGGAGATGAGCACCGCAACCCTAGAGTCGGATTCGACGGGCTTTCGAGCAAGGGAACCTTTACCTTTACCTTTAGGTAGGTTAACTACTGCGACTATACCAGTAGCAGTACACTGTAAACCGCTCTGAGACCCATTAGGGGTCATGGGCGGTATAGAAATGCAATGTAAATAAAATAAATAAAAATAAATAAAATTCCTGTGTTACTAATCAGAGCCTCAACAGATGAGATCTGTTTCAGATCGGGGTGTCCAGAGGGCAATACAGATCTGACCCGCTGAAGGGGAGGCCCAATAAAGGGGGGGGGATGCCCACCGCTTCAACTAAAAGCCTGGCGGAAGAGCTCCGTCTTGCAGGCCCTGCAGAACTGTAGGCTCTGATCTGATATGGGAGCTCGTTCCACCAGGTAGGGGCCAGACCCGAAAAGGCCCTGCCCCTAGTCAAGGCGAGACGGGCGTCCCTTGGGCCGGGAATCACCAGGAGATGCTGATTAGCAGATCGTAAGGCCCTTTGGGGCTTATAGGGGGAGAGGCAGTCTCGCAGATCTGCACGCCCCTGGCTCTGTGACTTTCCAGGGTGAGACGGACGATCCAGATTCGTTTCAGACCCATTTCCAGGTCGGTTTTAAAGAGAAGGGGCCTTGTTTGCTCTGTGAGATAAACTTCACAGGGAGTGAGGGGATGTGATCTCACTGATTCTCCTGAGGCTTGGAAGTTTCTTCACCCAAAGAGTGATTCACACATGGAATTCACTGCTACAGGAGGTGGTGGTGGCCACAAGCATGGACGGCTTCAAGAGGGAATTGGATAAGCACATGGAGCAGAGGTCCATCAGTGGCTATTCGCCACAAGGTACAGATAGGAACTCTCAGTCTGGGGCACGTGATGCTCTGTATTCTTGGTGCTGGGGGGGACAACAGTGGGAGGGCTTCTGGAGTTCTGGCCCCAATGCTGGACCTCCTGATGGCACCTGGGTTTTGACCACTGTGTGACACAGAGTGTTGGACTGGATGGGCCACTGGCCTAATTCAGCATGGCTTCTCTTATGTTCTTATGTCTGGGGCAAGTGATGCTCTGTATTCTTGGTGCTTTGGGGGGGCAAGAGTGGGAGGGCTTCTAGTGCCCTGGCCCCACTGGTGGACCTCCTGGTGGCACCTGGGATTTTTGACCACTGTGTGACACAGAGTGTTGGACTGGAGGGGCCATTGGCCTGATCCAACATTGGTTTCTCTTATGTTCTTATGTTTTTTGATTCTGTGGACTTCTGGACTAGTCTGCGAAGATGTCCTCACTCCCGGCTGGTTCCAGTTGTAACTAGCACTCCATAGTTTCAGGTGTAAACTCATTTTGTTGATTTGTTTTGCAAAATGTTTGTGTCTGCCTTCTCCGCTTGTTTTAGCGCAATGTATTTTAAAATTGGCTGGAATTTTTTTTATAGCCTGTACTGACTTTTTCCTGCTAATGAGATGGTTTCAGTACATGCTGCTGTTTGAAAAATGCGTTAAATGCTAGTTATCTAACTGATATTTTACGGAGGGATGTTTTAACATTATAGTGCGAGCTGCCCGGTGCGCTTTATATGGAGAGAGGAGGCTAGGCTTTCTGAATATCGTCATGAGAAGGAAGAGAGGGGGTGGGCGTAAAATTTCCAGCGCATATCAAGCACTGGCGGTTGGTTGAACGTGGTCTGTGTTGTCCTGAACATGGGGCTTTTCAGGGGAGTGGGCTGACAGCCACAGTGATGGACTGGTCCAGTGTGGAATATTCATGTCCCCAGTGCAAAGAGAGGCCATTAAAAGTGACTCCAGGGCAGGGGTTTAGACCCTGACAAATTATCTGCTTCTGCTCCGCCCCCCCTCCCCAGACTTCCAAAACATGAGCTGGGAATTGGAACCGGTTCCCTACAGCTCTCCTGATCTTTTCCGCTCCAGACACGTTGCACGTAAAGATGTTTCTTTAGCCCCATCTTGTGTTGAAAATCTACGATTCCAACTGGCTTCGACTGAAAAACACTTGACGTGTTTTTCCAAATAGTATGATCGATATGTGGAGGCAGCGGGGTGTAGTTAAATTCATCATTTTAATCAGGGCTTTCTTTTTTTGTAGAAAAAGCCCAGCAGGAACTCATTAGCATAATGGGCCACACCAACAGCAAAACGCATTAGCACATTAGGCCACACCCCTGACAGTGCAGCTCATTAGCATATTAGGCCACACCCCATACCTTCCCTTGGCTTGCCCAGGTGCCCCGTGACTGTGGGGCACCCGGGCAAGCCGGCCCTTGGACAGGCTGGGGAAGGTACGGGGAGGCATTTAGATGCCTCAGAGTAGCCGGGGTGGGGTATTGCTCTCTAGGCCTTCGCTCTGTAGCCACGCACGCAGAGGTTTTGGCTGTAGTGGGCGTGGCCAAATCTGAAGCCAGCCGGAACTCCGTTCCTGTGCGTTCCTGCCCCAAAATAGCCCTGATTTTAATAAGCGACAAAGCTTGGATGAAAATATTTGGCAGCAGTGGGAGGAACGCGAGCCTGGGATCGGTGAGTCCAGGGGAGGGAGACGGGGCTGCCTGGAGGAGCACTGGACCTCACCAGGGTAGGGGAACCGGAGCACGTAGGTCCAAGAAGGGCCACGCACAAGATCCCATAATTAGAGGTGAGCTGCCCCCTTGAATCACCCGGATGCAAGATACCCAAGAGGATCCCCTGCCTCTCATTGGGGATGGCCCTTTGGGCAAAGGAGGAATTCTAATCAAAACCAGTGTTCCCTCTAAGCTGAGTTAGTTTGAGCTAGCTCACAGTTTTTTAGCTTCTGGCTCACACATTTTTGTCTTAGCCCGGGAAGGATGGTTCCAGAGCAAACTAATTTATCCAGCAGCCAAATCACTCGCTCACAACTTTGATGCCACTAGCTCACAGAGTAGAATTTTTGCTCACAAGAGTCCACAGCTTAGAGGGAACATTGATCAAGACTGCGAGTGCAGAAGCTAAGATGCGCACAAAGGCCTCCTCTAAGATGTGTGCAAAGGCCTCTTTAGCCCTCTCCTCCCAGCCTGTGCAGCCATTGGAGGCCTTGGGCAAGCTCCTTCCGGAGACTCTTCAGCCGCTTGCTCCCGTTTCTCACTGTCTTAGTTTGGGCACTTGAGTTAGCGGTGATGTGGGCATCATGGGGGAGGAGGCTGTGCCAGAGGCTCTCTTGCATTTTGGCAGGAGGGGCTCAAGAGCTCTTTGACCATATTTTAGCTGGAGCAGCAGAAGTGCGTGTTTTGTTTTGTTTTTTTGGGGGGTGTCTTTTGGGTTCAGGGCCTGGATGGAAAGCTTGAGCAGGGTGTAGATTTGGGCCCAGCCTTCCAGTCGCCCAGCGTTGCTTCAGGAAACACAAGATTCAGCAAGGTCTTTGGCTCCCAAGCCAGCCCGAACCTGCTGCTTCCTTGTCCATCCGGAGCCCTGCTGAGAGCTCTGCCTCTTCTCAATGGAGCCCCCTTGTCAGAGGCCTCCGGAAACCACACGGCAAGAGTCTCCTCTGGTCAGGGCAGCTGTCCGTCTGGCACATCGCAGTGATGCCCCACGCGAAGGGAGCTCCAGATCTCCTCTTCTCTGATGCTTCGTGACACAACGCGAGCCAGCCATGGAGCTGAATGTGTCACATTTGCCCAGAATGCCGGAGATCTGATTTGACAAGGCAAAGTAGAGAAGATCCAGAACAACAGACTTGGTCTGCTGGTTCAGGGGAAAGCCCGCCTAGTCCAGTGTTCTGTTCCTAGGAGGACTCTGGGACGCTTGTGGCCTAGACAGGAAGGCAACACCCCCCCCTCCAGTTGGCATTCTCTATTCTGGTAATCCCAGGTACACTGTCTTTGCACATGGAGGTTCTGTTTAGCTATCACAGCTGTTGATTGACTCTCGGCCCGATCCTCTTTTAAAGCCATCTAAGCTGGCCTCTATGGAGCTGTGGTGGCTCAAGTGGTTAAGACGCTGAACTGCAGGCTGTGGAAGGTCGGTAGTTCAGCAGTTCGAGACGCGGGTGCGCCGCATGACAGAGTGAGCTCCCGTCTTTAGTTCCAGCTCCTGCCAACCTAGCAGTTCGAAAGCAAGAAATTGCAAGTAGATAAATAGGGACCACTTCGGTGGGAAGGGAACAGCGTTCCGTGCGCCTTGGTGTTTAGTCATGCCGGCCACATGACCATGGAAACGTCTTCGGACAGCGCTGGCTCTTCGGCTTTGAAACGGAGATGAGCACCGCAACCCAAGAGTCGGACTCGACTGGCTTTCGAGCAGGGGAACCTTTACCTTTTTAAACTGGCCTCTATGCCATGCAGTAGCGGGGAATTCCATCAGCTAATTAAACTTCGTGGAAAGAGCTTCCTTTCCGGTAACCATACCTGTCCATCCACGGCAGGGGCTCATCCATCTTAGCTGCCGTTTTGTTTTAACTTGTTTTGCTCTTCTTTCAAGGAACTCAGGGCAGCCTACGTGACTCTAACTTGCTCATTTTTCCTCACAACAACCTTGTGTGGTAGGTTAAACTATGTACGTGTGTGTGTGTGTGTGTGTGAGAGAGAGAGAGAGAGAGAGAGAGAGAGAGAGAGAGACTGTCCCAAGATGGCCTATCAAGTTTCCTGGAACGCTCGGGATTCGAACCTCTCACAGGGGTGCACCTGAAATTTGAGTCGCCTCCTCTTTACTGTGCTGCCCCGACGTGGACTAGATCCGAGGTCCCTCTCTTTCCTGTGTAGATTTGTCCTAGGAGGCTTGGGAGCTGTCGTGCTGTGGGTCGCTTGCTTGGTGTCTAACCTGTGCCCTGTATCTCTTCCTTTTTCTGTTTCCCCCACCAGGCCTGGCTGACAGAAATCCAAGAGTACGCAAAGCAGGACGTGGTCCTGATGCTGCTGGGAAACAAGGTGAGCCGGGGGCCTAGCTTGGACAGAGCCAGTCTAGGAATGAAAATGCACCAAAGACTCCTGTGGCACTAAGTGGGAGGGAGATGATAGACTCCTTCTTGGGGTGACTTTGATAAGGAGCGGACACTCGTCTGGCACTCTGAACCACTCGTGGGCTTGGTGGCTCTGTCTTGAGCTGGCTGCGCAGCCGGACTTCGTGCCGCCGTGCCAGAGGCACATCCAGGATGTGTCGGAGCTGCACCGAGCACGCCATCCAAGAATTTGAGTTCCGATCTGCTTCAAAATGCCTTCTCGTTGCTCTCAGGTGGACTCGACACAGGAGCGAGTGGTGAAGCGAGAAGACGGGGAGAAGTTAGCCAAGGTATGGGGCGCCCCGCTGTGACAGGGGGTTGTTTGTGCTGTTTGGTGTCGTGGTTAGGAGTGCGGAATCTAATCTGGGAGAACTGGGTTTGATTCCCCACTCCTCCACAGGCAACCAGCTGGGTGACCTTGGGTCAGTCACAAGTTCTCTCAGAGCTGTTCTCTCAAGGGCAGTCCTCAAGAGAGCTCTCTCAGCCCCACCTGCCTCACAGGGTGTCTGTTGTGGGGAGGGGAAGGGAAAGGAGATTGTAAGCCTCTCTGAGACTCCTTCAGGTAGTGAAGGGTGGGGTGTGAATCCAATCTCTTCTTCTTCTACTTGCCGTGACAATGGACTGAGATTCTGCTCTGAGGGAAGCTGATTTCTGGGACGGGTCGGACCCAGCCCTAGTGCCTCAAACAAACTTTCTTTGTATATATCATTGATTGTCTGCTGGATCCAAGTTGGCACACCCCGTATGTGTGGCTCAAACACAGAGGGTTGTAAAAACAAATGGGGGGCCTGTTTCAACCTTTCACAGACTCCTCGCATGCCCGTTTTTAGATTCATAGAATCATAGAGTTGGAAGGGGCATCCAGAGGCATCTAGTCCAACCCCCTGCACAATGCAGGGAATTCATAAATACCTCCCTCTCCACACCCCCAGTGATCACTGTTCCACACCCTGAAGATGACAAAAAACCTCCAGGATCTCCAGCCAAATTGGCCTGGAGAAAAATTGCTGCCTGACCCCCAAAGTGGTGATCGGCATTTCACTGGGCATGTAAGAAAGGGCTGCAAGAACCAAGCCCTGAGGCAACCCTTCCTGCCCTCCCTTCTCGTGATCTGCCCAAGTTCACACAATCAGCATTGCTGTCGGAGGGCCATCTAGCCCGTTTGAAAACCTCCAAAGAAGGAGAGCCCACCACCTCCCGAGGAAGCCTGTTCCACTGAGGAACCGCTCGTGACTGTCAGGAAGTTCTTCCTCATGTTCAGCCGAACACTTTTCTGATTTAATTTCAACCCGTTGGTTCTGGTCCGGCCTGGGGCAACAGAAAACAACTCCGCACCATCCTCTATAGGACAGCCTTTCAAGGACTTGAAGATGGTGATCGTATCACGGTCCAGGGCTCTTTTTGTAGCAGGAACTCCTTTGCATATTAGGCCACACACCCCTAATGTAGCCAATCCTCCAAGAGCTTACAGAGCTCTTCTTACAGGAGCTACTGTAAGCTCTTGGAGGATTGGCTACATTAGGGGTGTGTCGCTTAATATGCAAATGAGTACCTGCTACATGAGGATGAAAAACCTGGGTAAACCTGAGGGCTGAGGGTTTAGTCTGCCAGAGAATGTTCCTCTCCCTTTAAATTTTGTGGCCGTTTAAGGACCGTAGCAGCCTCAGGGTAGGGAAACTGTAGAGTTCACTGAGGTATATGGACGGACGCAGCCCCCGGTGTGTCCAGAGCGCAGTTTGTCCGGAGAGCACGTGTTTGGAAAGGCAGACTCTGACTCTTGTCTTGTTGGGCAGGAATACGGTGTGCCCTTCATGGAGACCAGTGCCAAGAGCGGACTGAATGTGGACTTGGCGTTCACGGCCATTGCCAAGTAAGTGGGGGCTCCGTGGACTTTCCTTCACACGGGCGGCGTGGGTCAGTTGCTCGAGTCATGTGGGGCCGTTGACGTCCAGGGCGTCTTTCTGCAGAAGGGGTACTCTGTTATGTGGGCTGGTGTGTGAGGGATGACCATTCAGGGCAAGGTGGTCAAGAAAGTGCCCTTGGTGCCCAGCAGTGAGGCTGCCTGGCATGGCTTTTGCTGCCCAGCAGGTGAGGGTGGAACTCTCCCCTTTGACTGTTAAGGCGGCTTCAGGCAAGAAACTCTATATTGGCCTCAGTTACACCCCCGGCCCTGCAATACAGGGCTATCAGACCGCAGGCCTACTTTGCAGAGCTATTCTAAGAAACAGCATTTTGGAACAGAGGCAGGACCATAGCTACTGTGGGGCTTTGGGGGGCTCCGCCCCCTTTCTTAAAGGCACAGCCCCACAAGAATTTCTCCTGTAAATGCTTTTTTCAATCATTTTTAAACCTTTAAAAAAAAAAAAAGTCATGCGCTCCTTTAAGCAGAGTGGGGTGCTGTCGTTGACTAATTCCTGCACTGAGCAAGGGGGTTGGACTAAGTGACCTCTAGGATCCCGTCTAACTCTGTGTCAGGAAACTGGTCTCCTTTAAGAGATTTTTTTCTGCCTAAGCATTGGCTTTCTTGACTACAGAAGTCATCCCCCCCACCTGCCAGCTTGTTCTCAGAATTGTTGCTTAGGCTGGCAGAAGTGATTAACTTGCAGCAACTGAGAACTGTCATCTTAAGTGGCTGTGGGGCACCTGGAGAAGATCAGGCAGGGAACCCAGGCATGCAGACATGCCCCCTTCCTTCCCTGAGCCTCTCTGCTTTTGCGGAGAAACTTGGGGAAGGGAGGGAAAGGCATTTTAAACATGCCTGGGCTCCCTGCCTGCCCTTCTCCAGCTACCCCATGTCAGCTAGAGAAGGGAAGGCAGAGAGCAGAGGCTTTCCCTTTGTCAATTTCACTCAGAGCTGACTGGGGGAGTGAAACTGACTAAGAAATCAGTTCAGGCTACCAGAGGGAAAGAAGGCATTTTAATATACCTCCTTTCCCTCTGGTGGTGTATATCAGACCCGAATATATAAAGGCTATCCCTTGTAAATTTCACTCACAGCTGACTAGCGGGGAGTGAAATTGACAAGGAAATTCAGGCTACCTTTCTCTCTGGTGGTGTATATCGGACCCGAAAATATTCGGGAATACCGAATATTTCCCCAATCCAAATGCCTTACCGGTATTGGACTGGGGAAATCTGGCCTTTACCGATATTTTTCGGATCTGATTTACCCAAAGCCAAAAAAATACCGGCACTGTTTTTATTGCACACCCCTAGTCCTGATGCCGTTGTGACCACTAGAACCCACATGCAGTCCAACTGTAAACGGGCTTCAAAACAATTTGGGGATAATTTCCCCCTCTCCCACAGAACTCTACAGAAGTGTAGTTTCACGAAGGTCCTGAGAAATCTTTCACCCAACTACAGGCCGCAGGGTTTCTTGGCTGGGATCTGTGCCGGCTAAGTGGATTCCAAACTGATCGGATTGTTTGTCATTTCTACGCTACCTGCTCTGAACCATTCTGGTTTGCTTAAGACACCTGCGGGGAACCCAGAAAGCGACACTCTCTTGTCAAATTGGTGCCTGTTTCCAAATCGCTTCTGGGCCAAACAAAACAAAGCAGCCTTGCGGGTTAATCCCCCCCCCAAGTCTAAAAAAGAATTTTGCTCGCCCACTGCCCACATATCCACAACAACAAAGTCCTTAGCCGTGATATTAGTTCACCTCCATGCTACGAAACTCGTCCAAACCGTTGACCTAACCGTTAACCAAACCGTCTCGCGTTCCGTTTGCAGGGAGCTGAAGCACAGATCGATGAAACTTCCCAACGAGCCCCGGTTTAAGCTGCACGACTACGTCAAGAAGGAAGTGAAAGGATCTGGTTGCTGCAGGTCATAAGCGCAAGCACTTTCCTGTGTGTGCTGCCGTCCGGGGATCGGGGTGCGCATCCCTTGTACAGAGACTCGCAACAAGCGTCGCGTGTATTGTTGCTGGACCCATCTGTGTGCCGCTCACCTCCCTCCCTGCCTCCCCACTGCGGAAACGTCCGCAGGTCTCTTCTGTATCTCTCTCCTGTATCTCAAGGAAGCGTGAAGGAGCAGGCGGAAGTCGATGGGTTCCCCCCCTCCCCCGCCCAGCCAGCTCTGGCGACATGGCTCAAATGTTAAATCGGTTGGGACTGGAGGGTAATTAAGTGTGACCTGAAACTGAGCCCACCCGTTGGTCCCAGGAAAAGGTGGGTAACAAAGAATCAGGGCTGGCCCTCCCAAGGGACGTGTTCTGCCCAAGCACCACAAGAGCAAAAGCTGTGCCAGTACATCTGGGCTCACACAGATGTGCCAGTACATCTGGGTTTGCTGCGCTCAGACAGGACACGTCGGGAGAAGGATTATACCTCCTTGTTCTGTCCCCCGTTGTTGTGGGTGTAAGGTGTGGAGGATCCCGATCCCTTCCGGCCTTAGGCCTCGTCTTTCTAGAGGTTTGGGTTTGTACCTCAATTGCTCGGGCGTTTTTGTTTTTCTCAACCACCAGCGTGGGCCAGTAGGCTTAGCGAAGCGTAGTGTGTTTGGTGTGCTCTGTCGACCAGCTTTCGATCGTCCGAGCTGGGGGGAGGCTGTCGCTCTTTCCCACAAGGTTGTTTTGCCAGCCCTCTCCTCTCCGGAGGAGGGGAAGAGACCCCCATTCCACCTCCTTTTTCAGGGCTCTTTTTGGCCACTGGAATTTCTATCGCTTCCTCCCAGAGTGCAAACGCTTTGGGTGTGTTTCTGTGGTGTGCGCGTGTGGCTTTTTTTTTAGAGAGACGTGCAATACAAAGAGAGCGCTTTTTTTATACACTGGAGATCGCCGTTCTCATTTCAAGGGGTTGGGGTTGGTCCCCCCTCGGTTCTTTGCTGCGATTCCTGCAGTTGCTTTCGGAGGCCAGTAGCGGGGCAAGGAGGGGTTTCCTCAAGTGTCACACCAACCTATTCCAGCAGCGGTGGTGTTTGCTTCAGGGACGGTCTAGATCCTCGCGTGCAACAGGATGTAGATGAGACAGGACCCCTTCAGACTGCGGGGAATAGCAGCTCTCTGCAAGCAGAAAACTAGCACTGCAGGGGGAAGGCAGGGCTAGGCTTGTCCTTCCTGATGCACCAGTTTGCTTTGAGGGGAAAAGGGAGAAGTCAGGAGCTGGCACTTTTGGCCAGAGGATTCAAGGATGGTCCTGGGGCTGGGTTTGGGAGAATATTGTGCAAAGGCTGTCCCACGGATGGGAGTTTTGTCCGTGGAGCAGCAAGGTGGCTTCTGGTCCCGGCTGGGATCTGCACAGCAAAGGGGTCAACCCTTCCTGGCTCAGTAGCCAGAAGCCTCCCATGGCGCCTGAGCCCCTTGCCACTGGGGGGGGGCCCTCTCAGACTCCCTTGCAGTGCTCTCGGGAGAAGGTTTGCCCAGCTCTTTCGCAGCCTCAGCCTTCATTCTCCATGCCGGCCTTTTATCGCTCAGTGTAGATATATGTTTTTTTTCTTCTCCTTTCAAAAGCTGCCGCACCCGCTGATTATTCTTTCTCAATGTTGCCCCCAAGCCAGCTTTGAATCAGGACGTGCTGCCGAAAGGGGCCAGTGTGCATGTTGTGTGTGCCCAATTCGAAGCGTTTCCTCGCATCTCCGCCCGCCAGGGTACAAGCAGCGCCCGTGGGGCTCGGCCCCAGCGACGGGTTTTTAGATTTTGTATCGTGCCTCGGAAAGGCTGCTGCTGCGGCTGCTCCTTGCCCCAGCTGTGTCCCGCGCTTAGCTTCTGCGACATTCCTTCCGCGAGAGACGCATGGACTCCGGAGCCCGACCTGCCTGCCGGGACGCAGCTGCCGTTTTCGATACAGGTCACTGCTGCCCCCTAGCGACGGAAGCCTGTCAGCACACACGGCCCCTTCCAACAGTGTTACGTGTACCAACTACTCGCTGGCTCTCTTTATAGTTTTTTTTTTCTTCTTCTCCTGTTCCTCTTAATAAAAGATTTTTTAAAATAATCACGCTTGTCTGCCTCGATTGTGCTCTGGCCTGCATGAAGCAAACAAAACCTTTCTTTCTCAAAGCAATGGTTCCCTACTCCCGGTCACCATCTGCAAAAGAAACCTTCACAAAATGAGAGTTAGATTTGAGTCCAGCAACACCTTAGAGACCAAGAAGAGAAGATTGGATTTATACCCCATCCATCACTCGGAGCCTCAGAGTGGCTTGCAATCTCCTTTCCCTTCCCCTCCCCACGGCAGACACTCTGTGAGGTAGGTGGGGCTGAGAGAGCTCTCCCGAGAACTGCTCATGAGAGAACAGCTCTGAGAGAACTGTGACTGACCCCAGTCACCAGAGGTCACCATGACTTCCAGGAGCACACACACTCACATGCCTGCACACACACATAAAGGTAAAGGTTCCCTTGCTCGAAAGCCAGTCGAGTCCGACTCTAGGGTTGCGGTGCTCATCTCCGTTTCAAAGCCGAAGAGCCAGCGCTGTCCGAAGACGTTTCCGTGGTCATGTGGCCAGCATGACTAAACACCAAGGCGCACGGAACGCTGTTACACACACACGCGCGCGCATATTTGAAAAATACAAAAAAAAGTCTGTTTCATTTTTTAAAGATTTACATCTAGAAACACACACACTTGAGTTGTATTAGGGCCAGCACTGCCTGCAATGAAGTTGGAATTTGGAGTTCTGAAAGGGGAGTCCCTTTTTACATGTCGTTCCGGAACCCCACCATAAGAAGCCCGTGGCACTAGAAAATAAAACTCTGGCATGCACATGGAGTTCTCTCTACCTTCTAACGCTATCTCTTGCTGCCAAAGAAATCTGGCAATGCAGAAGATGAAAAACATTGATCAAGAACACATCGTCCAGTATCCAAGGCTTTGGCCCGCTGGAGAGGGAATTCAAGCGTCCGCACACCTGGCTGCCACAGGACTGAGTAGTGCTTCAGGTGAACCTGAAAGAAAGGGAACAAAATCACCATTAGTCATTTTATACCTGTTCACTATTAATAAGCTCACAAGGGTAATACATATTAACCTCCGACGTACATCTAAAACCAAAATCGATCACACCAAATTACATAAAGAGGTTCGAAAGTAATCTTGCTGCTGGATTTTCTTGGCTGTTATCAGCAAGGGTGTAAGGTTATTTTCTAGGACCACAGAAGAAAGTCTCAGTCCGGCGGCACCTTTAAGACCAACAAAGTTTAATTCTGGGTACGTGCTTTGGTGGAGCTGCGGTGGCTCAAGTGGTTAATACGCTGAACTGCAGGCTGTGGGAGGTCGGTAGTTCAGCAGTTCGAGACCCGAGTGCCGCATGACGAAGTGAGCTCCCGTCTCTCGTTCCAGCTCCTGCCAACCTAGCAGTCCGAAAGCAAAAAATTGCAAGTAGATAAATAGGGACCACTTCGGTGGGAAGGGAACAGCGTTCCGTGCGCCGTGGTGTTTAGTCATGCCGGCCACATGACCACGGAAACGTCTTCGGACAGCGCTGGCTCTTCGGCTTGGAAACGGAGATGAGCACCGCAACCCTAGAGTCGGACTCGACTGGCTTTCGAGCAAGGGAACCTTTACCTTTTAACTCCAGCCAATGACGAGTTCTTTAAAATTTCTGACACCTCGTATGAGAACTGTGCTGGGGAACTGATCTCTATCAGCTGGAGATCCCCAGGTCCCACCTGGAGACTGGCAACCCTATATCCCTCCCCCCAAACCAAACCCTCGAAACCCAAATCTCCAGGGATGTCCCAATCTGCAGCTGGCAATTTAGCAGAGATTTTCATCTTAAAATAGGGGAAATGATCGATGCTTATGAGAAGCAGAAAGGTGCATCATTATAAGCTGGGAAGGGCAATTAATAAATCAAATTTATTATTACTACTACTAGTATTATTATTATTATTATTGCCACATACCCTCCCGCACCCCTAAGCTCCCCCCCCCCGCCTTTTCCTAACTTGACAACTCCAACACGTGGAGAGAAAAAAATAAAGGATTGCAGGGGCGGGCCCTTCTGCAACACCGCCCTCTCTCCCGTCTGCTCGTTAACCAAGGCAGCCAATCATACCATGCCATCAGGAGCCGCGCTAGCCAATCGCCTCTCACAACAGCCCCTTCACTATTGGTCCACCTCCTCGGCTGCTCCGCCTTCCTCCCCGCGCCGTTTCCTTGTCTTCGATTGGACGAAGCTCGGGTGATTTGATTTTGACGCGGCTGTACGAGAAGAGCGGGGAGCCAATCCCAGCAGACGGAATTGTGGGGCGGGGTGGGGGGAAGCGGCGGACGGGGCGGAGCGGGGGCTTGTGGGAGGTGTAGTCCGTGCCTCCCGAAGGGAGTCGCGTGCGAACCGGAGCCGAGCGAGGCGAAGGACTACGGCTCCCGGCGTTCCACATCGATGAGCGTCATTTCCGTTCCGGCCAGGCCCGGATCGGGCTGTGAGGAAGCAGGACGGAGGAGCTCGGTGTTCGGCCCGGGGGAGGGAGCGGGGAAGGCGGGACCATGGGAGGCCGAGCGCGGGTCGCCCCCGCCGCGGCCCACAGGTGAGCCCCGCGAGGGAGGGAAGGTCGAGGAATATGCGGCCTGCAGGGCCCCGCGAGCCGCGCTCTCGAGTAGAAGCTTAGCCCGCGGCGGCGGGGAGGGAGTCGGTGTGTGTGGGGGGGTGGGGGGAAACAGTGTCCTGAGAGAGGGTGGGGAAAAAGATGATCTTGATTTTTAGAGCGACCTGGAGCTCTCTCAGCCTGGCCTACCTCACAGGGTTGTTGTGAGGATAAAACCGTAGTTGCCAACTCTGGGTGGGGAAATTCCTGGAGCTTGGGGGGGGGGTGGACCCTGAGGAGGGCGGGGTTTGGGGAGGGGTTCCAGTGGGGGCATAACTGCCCTAGAGTCCACTTTCCAAAATGGTTATCTTCTCCAGGGCAAATGTCGCCTGGAGGTCAGTGGCAAGAGCAGGAAGTGTCCAGCCGCTACCTGGAGGCCGAAAGGAAGCCAACAGCCGTATCGTGCCAAAAAAAGGATTCTTCAGCAAGCTGTAAATTCTTTTTTTCAGTATTCAGTTTACTGGGAGCAATTCGGACACCGTCAGCACCAGCGAACCATGCCTGTGACGTCTCGTTTCCTGTACACCTTTATCAAAGTGGGTAGCGTTGAAATACCTATACAATGTTCATCCATTTGGCAAACACTCTAATCATTGAAGGTCAAAGAAGATGGGGACGGCAGAGGATGAGATGGTTGGACAGTGTTATCGAGGCAACGAACATGGAATTAAGCAAACTCCGGAGCACGACGGGAGACAGGAGGGTCTGGCGTGAAGTGGTGCATGGGGCTGCGACTGAACAGCTAGTCATACCTCATAGTCACATTCATTAAATCCTTTAGTGTGGATTAAGATTATATAGGTATTTCAACGCTACCCGCTTTGATAAAGGGATACACGAAGTGAGACATAGGCGTGGTTAAATGGTGCTGATGCTGTCTGAATTGCTTCCAGTGAACTGAAGACTGAAAAAAAAAATTTGCAAGTTTATTTTTTATTTATTTTTCACATTTATACCCCGCCCTCCCCATAGGCTCAGGGCGGCTTACAGAGGCAAGGCAGAGCCTTGCCATAATAAAAACATAATATACATAATAAATTTAAAAACATAGTACATCTTAAAATCCTATACAATCAAAGTGCTCAGTGATAACATAGTCCAAGGATGACGAATTGTATGTCCGAGTTCCAAGTTGACGGCTTAGGGTTTCTTCCATATTCGGATGTTTCCTCAGAGCTTCATCCAACCCACAACGGTGGTAGTGTAGTGGGGGGGGGGGCTCCTACTCAAAAGCCTGGTGGAAGAGCTCCGTCTTACAGGCCCCGCGGAACTGCATAAGATCCCGCAGGGCCCGGATCTCCCCTGGGAGCTCATTCCACCAGGTAGGAGCCGCCACCGAAAAAGCTCTGGTCCTAGTAGCGGCTAGTTTGATCTCTTTGGGGCCCAGAATAGCTAGCAAATTTTGGGCCCCTGACCGTAGTGCTCTTGGGAGAACATACGGGGAAAGGCGGTCCCTCAGGTAGGTTGGACCTCAGGTAGTTGGTAAAGAACCCTTTTTTTGGCACTAGACGTCATGGTTGTTTGCTTCCTTTCAGCTTCCATCCCGTGATCTCTTTCTTTTGCTTTGCACTACCTGGAGGTTGGCAACCCCCGATAGAGAAGAGGCGAATAGTGTCAGGCACTCTGGGTCCCCATTGGGGTGGAAGGCAGGATAGAAGTAAAGGAAAGAAATGAAACGGGTGTGTGTGTGTAGAGTTTGAGCACCTTTTTTGCAGCCCCACTCCACCCTAATATGGCTGTGAGGGGAGTGAAAGACCCTTGGCCGTTGGGGGTGGGTGGGTGAGAGCAATACTGTTTTATTTATTTATCATTCCGGATTATATCCCGCCCTTCCCTGAGTTCACAGGGCTCGGGGCGGCTGACGACAAAAAATACAGTATAACAACAACAACAATATAAACCCGAGAATAAAACAGTTAAGTGATTCTGTGACTCTTAAGTTACAATCAAAAGAACATCAGATGGTGCCAAAGTAGACAGTTGCTGGTAATCAGGTGTGGGGGTGAAGTTCTGGGCTGGGGCAGTTCCTGGAGATTTGGGAGGGTAACGGTCAGTGTACGAGGGCCCTTTGCCGGTTTCTGCTTTTGCTGCCACCTGAGGAAGTGAGCCTTGTACGCATAACGATCATTAAATGTTTGTTAATAATAAAAGCATATCCTGGGGCAGTGACTCATTCCCTGCTTCTGTCCATGAGCAGAGGAAGGGTTAGGCAGTTACTTTGGTCATTACTGCCAACAGCATTTCTTGGCAGCAATAAAAATAGGAGGCTCCATTTAGGCACTGTGGCCGAGAGGCATTCCTAGCCTTGATTGTCACACAAGTTGTGTGGTTGTGTGTGTAAATGCAGTGCCTGAAACAATGATCTGTGATCCTGAAGGTCACCGGTTCGGATCTGTCACAAATCTGCTGTATGTTCTTGGGCACTTAGCTGCTTGACCGCTAACGGCGCTTGCACACACACTAAATGATGCACTTCCGATCCACTTTGCAACTGGATTTATTGTGCAAAATGACAAAATCCGTCAAGGCTTACCGACTATGGGAGAGTTTGTTCTATTGTTGATCGGGTGCCCGGCTTTGAATGATTATGATAGGATTGAGTTTTTTCCTGTAATACTGCTTTGAAGGCTTTTATACACTGTGAGTGCTGTGCTAAGGATT